GTCCACTAAATTTGAACTCGAAAAGTTTACAGGGGACAATGATTTTGGACTCTGGAAGATGAAAATGGAAGCTATGCTGATTAAACTAGCATTAGCTTTGAAAGGGGAATCTGAGCTGCCTGACACCTTGACCAAAGCTGAGAAGCAGGGTGTACTCAACAAAGCTAAGAGCTCTTTGATCTAGGTGACAAAGTCCTGCGAGAAGTAAAGAAGGAGAAAACTGCTGCTGAGATCTGGAATAGGTTAGACTCCCTGTATCAATCTAAAGCTGTTCCTAATAAACTGTATTTAAAACAAAGACTGTTTGAGTTTAAAATGGATGAGCAGAAATCTTTAAAAGACAATAAGTATGATTTTCTGAAACTTATATAGGATTTAAAAAGCATATCAGTAGAGGTTGGTAATGAAGATTAGGCTATAGTTCTTCTAAATTCCCTACCAAAACCTTACTCTAATTTCGTAGAAACATTAAAATATGGTAGGCAGACACCAAAATTAGAAGAGGTTGTACAAGCAATTACTGTTAAGGATAGAGAGAACAGAATGACATTAGGCAGTGATGGGGAAGGTCTCATGGTAAGGGGTAGATCAGAGAAGAGAAACTAGAAAAAGGGGGGACAAAATAGGAATAGACCTAAGTCCAAAACCAGGAAATGGAAGTGCTTCCTCTGTCACAAAGAAGGACATCTTAGGAGAGACTGTCCTGAGAGAAAAAATAAGAAGAAGTATGGAAAGGAGGAAGAAGAAGGCAGTGCTGGTGTTGTGTCTGAAGGTTATGAAAGTTCAGAGGTATTAGTCATCTTTGAAGGTAGAAATAGTGAGGAATGGATATTAGACACAGGATGTACCTACCACATGACACCAAATAGGGACTGGTTTAGCTCTTTTCAAATTGTAGATGGTGGAAGAGTTGTGATAGGAAATAATGTAGTATGTGGCATTAAGGGCATAGGTACTGTTAAGCTAAGCCTTCACAATGGCCTAACCAAAACTCTCACCAATGTAAGATACATTCCTGACCTCAAGAGGAATCTAATATCACTAGGCACCCTAGACTCAATAGGACTAAGTTACATATCTTCAAGTGGAAGTCTTAGTGTAATGAAAGGGTCATTAGTAGTGATGAAAGGTGAGAAGAAAAATGGTTTCTATGTGTTAAAGGGTAAGACAAATTATGGCATAGCTGTTGTAGGGTCTCTAGTAACACAGGACAAAACCTTATTGTGGCATCAAAGGTTGGCACATGTTAGTGAAAGAGGGTTAGATGAGTTGAGTAAACAGAATCTATTAGGAGGGGATAAAACTGGAAACTTAACCTTCTGTGAACACTGTATTTTTGGCAAAATGTGCAGGGTGAAATTTGAATCTGGTAAACATTACTCAAGCTCACCACTTGAATATGTTCACTCAAATGTATGGGGGCCAGCTAGACACTACTCACTAGGGGGCTGTAGGTATTTCATTAGCTTTGAAGATGATTATTCTAGGCATGTTTGGATATACTTCCTGAAGACTAAGGATGAGACATTTCTTAGGTTTAAGGAATGAAAAATAATGGTTGAAACTCAATCTGGGAAGAAACTTAAAAGGCTTAGGACTGATAATAGTCTTGAGTTTGTGAATGAGGAATTCAATAGTTTCTGCAAAAACCATGGAATTGTTAGGCACAAAACTGTTAGAAATACCCCACAACAGAATGGCCTCTATGAAAGAATGAATAGGACAATCCTAGACAAAGTTAGGAGCATCCTGTCAAACTCTAAGCTACCTGTAAAATTCTGGGCAGAAGCTACACATACTGTGGTGTACTTGATTAATAAAACCCCCTCATCTGCCATAGGTTTCAAGGTGCCCTTAGAAAAATGGACTGGACATCCTATAAAGCTGGACAACTTAAGAGTTTTCGGGTGTCTATCTTGTGTTCATGTAAAGGATGATAAACCGAAACCTAGAGCTATAAAGGGCATGTTTCTTGGATATCCAGAGGGAGTAAAAGGTTATAAGTTCTAGAATCTAGAAACCAAGAAGTGTATAATCAGTAGGGATGTGATTTTTAGGGAAGAGGTTCTTCCTGGACTAGAATGTGAACCTGGAAAAACAGCTAACAATGCCTCAGGATCAGATCTTCTAGAACTGGAAATTCAGGATATAGTTCCTAATCATCAAGGTGGAGCTGATGAGACAGAGGAGAATCCTGAAAATCCTAATACAAATCAATTGGATGAGCAAGGAGAACAAAGAGAACAGGAGCCAGACTTGATAAACTATCAGCTAGCTAGGGATAGAACCAGGAGAGTCATTAAACCTCCCAACAGACTAGGATATGCAGACCTGGTAGCTTATGCATTTCAAGTAGAAGAAGAGCTGAATGATAAGCCTAAAACATTTCAGGAAGCTATATTAAGATCTGATAAAACTGAGTGGAAAAGGGCAATCGAAGATGAATTCAATTCCTTAATGAAAAACAATACTTGGACCTTAGTAGATAAACTAGAAAACTGCAGGGTGGTTAAGTGCAAGTGGATCTTCAAAAGGAAACTAGGTCTAACCTCAAAAGGTTCACCTAGGTACAAGGCTAGATTGGTTGCAAAAGGATTCATTCAAGTGGAAGGCATAGACTATAATGAAATATTCTCCTCAATGGTAAAGCATGCATCAATTAGAATTCTGATTTCTCTGGTTGTATAGTTCAACCTGGAACTAGAGCAATTGGATATAAAAACAACCTTTTTACATGGTGACTTGGAAGAGAATATTCTGATGGAACAGCCAGAGGGATATTTAGGACTAGCAGGTAAAGTTTGCCTCTTAAGAAAATCACTTTATGGCCTAAAACAATCACCACGATAGTGGTACAAGAAATTTGATTCTTTTATGATTGAAATTGGCTTTAATAGATGTCAGTTTGATAGCTTTTTTTATTTTAAAAGAAATTCTGATTTGACTCATACTTACTTGTTGCTTTATGTGGACGACATGTTGGTTGCTTGCCATGACAGAACTGAGCTTGCTCGATTGAAGAAAATCCTCAACACCAAGTTTGAAATGAAGGAGTTGGGTCAGGCTCAAAAGATCCTTGGTATTACCATTATAAGAGACAGAATGCAGGGAAGCTTTAAGCTGGTTCAAGAAGAATATGTAGAGAAAATTTTGTAGAAGTTCAACATGCAGTATGCTAAGGCTGTCCAAACTCCCCTAGGGCAACACATCAAACTATTTCATGATCAGTGCCCGAAAACAGAAGAAGAGCAAAAGGAAATGTCCACCATTCCATATGCAAATGCCTTGGGTAGCCTAATGTACCTAATGGTTTGCACCATGCCTGATCTGGCATATTCTGTGAGTTTAGTAAGTAGATTCATGAGTAATCCGGGAAGACTACATTGGTATGCACTTAAATGGATTTAAGATACTTACAAGGATCAAAATCAGTGGGCATAGTATTCAGTAAGAACAAAGAAGAAAAATACTGCATTAGGGGGTATGTTGATGCTGATTATGCAGGGGACTTTGATAAGACAAAGTCCACTTCAGGTTTTGTTTTTACATTGTGGGGAAATGTGATTAGCTAGAAATCAAAGCTTTAGCATATGGTTACACTCTCATCAACATAATCTGAGTATGTAGCCCTGACAGAAGCATCAAAGGAAGCTGTATGGCTCAAGGGTTTGTGAATGAACTGGAGTTGGAACAGAAAACTGTGGAGATCAAAAGTGACAGTCAGAGTGCAATACATCTGTCCAAGAACCAAGTCTTCCACGAGAGGACAAAACACATTGATGTCAGATTGCATTTCATCAGAGAAATGATTGAAAAAGGAGAAGTCAAGGTTGAAAAGATAAGAGGTACTCACAATCTTGCAGAGATGCTCACCAAACTAGTAACTGCAGATAAACATAGGCTCTGTATGAGCCTATTACATGTTCAAGCATAATTCAATTTTGCCAAGGCCACTTAAGGTGTCAATTCACAAGCCAAGGTGGAGAATTGTGATGATGATGTGACTTGAAATTGCCACGGTGGAGTCAGCATCAGTCAAAGAAATCAGATTCAACTTAAAATAAGATGGCATCATTTTGGCTATCAAACTTAAGTGCCCTATTTGGCACTCGAAACCCATTCTGTTGCAATGAATTCACAGCTCATCTCTTTTTCTCTCTGGTCCCATTTCAGCGCTAGCTCTTCGTTCATGATAGAAGATTCTAGTGCCCATCTTCTCCAACTGATTGTAGATCATATTGGACAGCTGGAGGATGATCAACGGAGTCCTGATCTGTATAAAATCAGACCAATATGTGCGAGAGAAAACAGAGTTGTGAGAGGGCTTAATCGGGTGTGTTCTTTCTTTTATTTCTCTGGTTGTATACTCTCTGTAATCTTGGTTTCCTTGATTAATAAAATACCCTATAGTGTGCCTTGAAGAGTGGATGAAGGCTACCTTAGCCGAACCACTATAAATCCCCTGTGTCAATTTCTATTCCGTTCTTTCATGCTTTACTTAATCTCTGGAACTGATTGCATGTTTATTGATAAGATTGTGTTAGCTCATTGATTGATTTGATCAGCATAGTTGAAAACCCTAATTAGTCACTGCAATCTTCTATTGGATGGTGCTGGAAGTTGAATTGGTATAATCAATAGATTTTTTACTTCATTTTCTTTGGACGACTTGATATTTTAAGGATTAGAAAACTCTATAAGATTACAATTAGAGGAGAAATAGGTGAAGGTGGTGGTGGGCGTGAGGCTCGTGATGGAGTGTGTTTGTATGATGAGAAAAATGTTTATAGGTGTAATTGTGCTTGTTAGTGATGAGAAATAAATCTAGAATTATTTTTAAATTGTGTTGGTGTTTGGCCCCGTTTCTTTTATCTAATAAACACTCCTGTTATGAAATATTACAATTTTATCTTTAACTAAAATTATTTTTAAAATCATATATAATTTCCTTGAGGGAAAAACAATTCATACCATAATCATAATCTTTTTTTAAGCACCAATCGATGTTAATACTTAATTTGAAATAAATCTGGAAATCTTAATACAGCTTAAATCACCCAGTGAATTTGTCTTCGCTTTTATGTTGTGGTTGAATTTATCTAGAAACACTTAATACAAGAACAACTTACATGAAACAGTTTGAACAAAAGAAAACCACTCCCAATCTTTAGACTCACGTTTGCTACCCAGAATTCGGACAATGATAAACCCACTTTGTCCCTCAAATGTCAAAATTCCGGCCTACGACCAGCGCGGGTTTCCTGTTCATTAGTCGACGGACGACCCAGACAAAACCAGCTTGGAAAAAATATTTGATAGCAACAACAAATTGTAAATCAAAGATGGCAGAAGCAGCTTTTGATGATGTTTTATTCCATTTCCAGGACTGAATGCAAAATGCTGAGGCAGCGTATTGTATCTTCCATGATAACCTGCAAGAAACGAATATAAAGAAAATTAATCCTCTATATTCTCGGTAAACATATATAGTTAAAGAAGACTATATAATTAATTTATCTAGTGATACACCAATCGTTTAAGTGGTATGTGGCGAAGAAAAGGGCAAGAAAGCCTTTAATAAGATAGGTTAAGGCTCATCTCATCTTATCAATACGTCTATCTAATAGATAGATTTATAAATAAACGTACAGATGAAAAGTAATATAATAAACTTGTGTTATCCGGTTAGAAATTACTGATAATAAAAGAAAAGTAATCAAGGATTAAATGCTTACCAGATCTGGCGTTTAAAGAATCATGTCAAATTTTGTGAAGAAAAGGAATGGTTGCTAGCAAGAGTGAAAGAACGAATATCTCGTACGTGGCTAACCATCAAACGGTCTTCACTATTCTTTTTAAGTCTTGCAACAAACTCGCTGTTCATATCAAATACCAACAGTTCTTCCAGCTGACTGAGATGGTTTATGCCCAACGGAAGCATCGTTAATTGCTCACACTTGCAAATGGTTAGCTTTGCAAGCTCGGGCATCGCTTTTTCCTCCATTATCACCGTATGTAAATGCTCAAATTGTTCAAGATACAGAATTTTCAATTTCCTGAACGTTGCAGCTTTGAATTCCAATAACTCACCCGTGTAACAATCAACCATGTGGAGCTCCAACAGATTTGGCAAAGCTTGAAGGGCCTCAAGTGGGCTGTCCTTCAATCTTGACCACTTCAAACCAAGTCTTACCAAACTTTTAAGCGAGGAAATCCACCCAGGGAACTTCTCTAAGCGCCCCTTTAGATATAGTCGTTGAAGAACACAATCAGGATGAATAACCACATCATATTCCAAATCAATGTATTCTTCCTCACTTGCTGAACAAACATCCAGAGTCAAAAGGTGTTCCATTGTTGCAATGGATTGACACAATGCCTTTCCGTCTTTTCTTTTGAGATCTATTATTCCAAGCTTCCTCAGCTGACTCATTTTTTTCAACTCTTCTATAACTCCACTTCGACTATTTGCCTTAACACATGACAACTTTTCTAAGGCAGATAAATTCCCAATACTTGGAGGAACCTCTACTCCTTGTACTGAGTTGAAAGTCACATAGTTGCTTACATTATAGCGGTAAACTAGAAGATGGCGCAAAAATTTGAGTCCTAAGATCTCCAATGGAAGCTTAGTTACACAAGTTTGTCTCAAATCTAAGGTTTCAAGAAATGCTAGATTCCTTATATATTTTGGGATCTTTTCTATATTGGTTTCCCTCAAACTTAGACACCTTAGAAGGGTGAGTTCAAAAATTTTATCAGGAAAATCCTCAAAACATATACCCTGCAAATCCAGAACCCTCAACAACCTGGAATGATGAATTAATTTTCCTATGCTGGGACTAATTGAATTTCCCCATGCAAACACGAACAAGGTTCTAACAGAGCTTTTACCTTTCATCAAGTGAGACAAATTAATTTTAGAATGATTAATCGATAAGCGTCGAATTTTTTCACCTGAGCTTGCTCCTAGTTCCGAGAGTGCTGTGACAAAATTTTCTTTTTCAGAAATCTGAATTATGAATTCCCTGACAAGGTTTAGTACTCGGCAGCTACTTACTCGTCCATCAAAATCCCATGCGCTTGCAGAAACTAAATTCCTTCCAATGAGCTCGTTGAGGTAGTCCTCTGCAACCTTGTCAGGTGTTTTGCCTGATGTATTCTTTATAAACCCTTCAGCTATCCACGAGCGAATCAATCTCCCACGAGGAATGGAGTATTCCTCTGGAAAAATGCTAAAATACAAGAAACAACTCTTGTGATTGATTGACAGATCCTTGTAACTTGGCCACAATATTCTGCTTATTATTGCCAGACCTGAGTCAGGGGCAATTTCAGAGCCAAGACTGTCATGCAATGTCTTCCACTCGTAAGGAGTTTGCCTCTTCTTTGCTAGTAAACTACCGACGGCTGCAATTGCTAGGGGCAACCCTTCACACTTCTTCAAGATCTTTTCCGACCAATCCTTCAACTCCGAGGGATATTCGCTTCCTTGGAAAGCCTTTTTACAGAATAACTGCCAGTCAAAAGGTGACGTTAATCCTTTCAGCTCAATCTTATGATCCGAAGATTTACGGCAAGCTGCCACATCCAGGTTCCGAGTAGTAACAATTATTCTACGGTGAAGGCGACTTTCAGGCAAAGCCTTCACAATTTCTTCATAATCATCTTCTCTCCAAACATCATCTAAAACAACAACATAACTCTTTCTCTCCAAAATGTTTGTCAATTCCGCCCTTAAATCCTCTCCAGATGAAGGGAGGGATAGGTTCTCCCTCCCCCCACGAAATTGTTTCAGCATACTCCTTAGAACTTCATCGATTTTGAAGGTTTGAGACACGTGAATCCAAGCATGGCAATCATATTTCCCGAAAGCAAGAACTTTTTTGCTTTCGCAAACAGTTTTCACAAGAAAAGTCTTTCCTGTGCCACCAGTCCCAACCACCGAAATCTTCATCATGCAACTTGAATCTTCATAAATTAACCGATGGAGACGTTTTTTTTCCTCCTCAAAGCCCATCATTTCATCCTCCCTATGTATCTGGTGAATCGCATGATCTCCATCTCCCACCCCTGAGTGATGACTTGTGCCTTCTTCATGGGGAATATTAGTATTGATCCGCATGTTTCCACTAACGATCTCCATCTTTCTCTTGATGCCTTCTATGGTGGAGGAAATCTTGTGGAGCTCTCGTGGGCGTTTGGCACCATCAACAACTTTGTGAGCAAACTCGGATAATCTGTTACTGCAATATATATCGGACACATGATACTTGAACTCAAGAACAACATCCTCCATATCATAAGCTAATTCTCGAACTTCGCTTATTTGATTTTTAAGCACTTCCATTGTTTCTTCTCTTCGATCCATGTCTTTTATATACGATTCTATATTTTTCAGCATACTTTTGACATGGTCAACATCACCGCGCACATCTTTTTTTAGCTTCACTTTCCCTTCAATGAAGGGGAGGACATTCTCGACCAAAACCAGCGCCGCTGAAACAGCAATATCCGCCATTCTTGCTTATTTTTCTGAGGGTTCACGATGTTCCTTTTTTTTTTTTTTTTTGGGCAGGGGTACAATAATCATGTATGCATTTCTGTTTTGTAAAGTCAGTTCAAGTCTTCAAGAGAAAGTCAGAAAACACAGCGAAATTGCCCTGGTCGACGAAGTCCACTCTCATAAATGACAAAGAATATCTGTTCACGCGCTGCTCTATCCTACAAAATTGGTTAGATAACATCAGCAATTAAAAACATTAAAAATAAGAAAAGTTCAACCATTTTAAGTCTAGACATGAGAAAAGTATCACAAACACAAGTTTATCAAGCTTGAAAACAAAGTATATAATCAAACATTTTCCCCTAATCTTATCATTCAGTACCCAGAGGCCAGAGGGGACTTTTCTTGTTTAATTTGTTGGAATGTTTTTCTGTACTAAAATTCATATGCAAGATCTACAATTAATTAGTTAGTAATAAAATTTGAAGAATATGATCATTTTCGAAATTGAAGAGACAAGATTGCGTGTAGTTAACAAGTCCGGAGAGAAAAATTAAGAAACAAATAATGAAGATTATACTATGTCCGTCCGGTAAAATTTTAATTTGAGTAGTGTTACGTATACAAACAATTGATGCAAGTTCTTGTATTACAACTCTTTTATTGTGATATTATTTATCTATATTAACTAGTATTTATAAAATTAATTTTTTATGTAAATTTATTTATTTATTTTGTGTCACATCAATTTATATAAATGAGTTTGTATAAAAATTGTATATCTATATTGTTCATTTAATTTAAAAGAGATATAACATTTATTTTTTCTCTTTTAACTGTAAAATAGCTGGCATGCAAAAGCTAAACCACACATATATCTATCAAAGTTCATACTTGTCTCTAGTGATACGGTCTATAGAACTCTAACATGACAAAATCTATATACATTTGAACTTGTCCTTCCAACTTGTATCAGACTTGATTAATCAATTAATTCATGCATTCACCAAGTTGGATAGCCAATTAAAAAGAATCTAAAAGGTCCATCACCCACCATTAACATTTCTTTTAATTAATAATTTTACTATATGACAATAGCGAGAGAATTTGTGATATTATGGTCATTTCATAATTCAATATGTATATATTATGTAAATAGTAAATTTAATAACAAACAATTAAATATAAATAAAAAATGAAAATGAAAATATTAATTTGCGATCGCTAAAAATGTATATATACATATATATCTTTATAGATAGAGGGATAAATGTGTCTTAACATGATAATTATTTATTTATTTATTTTTTGTTGTGAGAAACTTCTTACGAAAGAGCTATATTTTAATACAATTTAAAGAATATTAATAAAGAAAGAAAACATTGGAGACGAAGACAATGCGATTCTTTTATGAGTCTTGCAAATTGGCGCATGCAAGAATGGACCCCTTAAAAAATATGGCTTCATTTGTTTCGCTTTTGGGAATACTATTTTCAAGAAAGTTAAACAGTAAAATGTCATTATTTACAAAATATTATTTTATATTTTTTAATTTCGTTTAAACTTCCTAAATTTATTAATTTAATTAAACAACTCCAAATATTTTTTTTAGAAATTGTAAAAACACTCCGACCACCCTCCGACGGTGGTGGCCGGTTGTCCATATTTAATAGGTGGATTGGGGGTGTTTTTATTAACTTTTAATATTTTATTATAGGAGTGTTTAGTAAATAAACAAACATAAGGGATATTTTTGTTAATTTCCAAATCCTACATCGTAATATCCATCCAATTTAACCTTTTTTTTTTTTTCAAAAGATTATTCTAAAAACTATCATAATAATGAACCAAATGGAGCCTATAATACTTTTAAAAGTGGAAAGTCCTGGTTGTTGCATAATATTGTTGATAAAAATTCATAAATTTTTGTCTATTTTTAAAATATATTTAACAAAAAAAGACAACGTTTTACTATTCCTTAACTATCAACTCAAAATATCTGCAAATATTACTGTAAGTTTGAGTGTAAATTTTAAAAAAGCCAAAAAAAAAAAAAAAAAAGGAAGTATTATTAGACTAGAGGAAGAGTATCTTGACTTCCTTTTTTTTTTTTTTTTTTTTTTTAACTTCAAACCTTACATTAAGATACCAAAATTGTTTTGGCACTCAAGTTTTCAACCTTGATCGATATGGTCTACGAATTCCTAACTTGAAAAAAATAAATAAATCATACATTTAATTTAATTTGAACTAGTTCTTCCAACTTGTTTCTGGATTAATTATTACTTAATTCATACATTAACCATTTTGGTACGATTATTAGACATAAGATTCCTTCTGTCCAAGTATATATGATAATCCCATTTTTAATTTAATTAATTAAGTTATTAGCAACACATACCCTTGACTTTTTACAAACTAGTAAGTAGCAGTTTCTCTTTCTCTTTGCATCACCAATTGTTACATTACATGGCATTTGCATTAGCCCCAGAAGTTTCTTTCTCTTATTTCTTCCATTGGGTGGTGCAGAACGATTCCCAAAAGTCGAATTGGTATTATCAATATATTCTTTTGACGACTTTGTTGTGTTTATATAATTAATTTATTTCTTGAGGTAGACTAGGTAAACTTACTAGGGTTCTTTCCGGCACATTCTAAGAAAGATTGGACGTTGAATAGACTAATTAATGGATTTATTACTTAAACATAATACAATATTTAGGGAAGACTTTTTTTAAATATTTTTCCGTAAGAAACTTCATACGAACTAGCTATCATCTATTTATTTATACAATTTGAAGAATTTAATTATTCACGAAATGAGAGACGAGGCTTTATCATCCAAGTTGCGCTTGTATAAATAAAACTTCCAAGTCTTGCAAATTGGCACATGCATTCCTGGACCTCTTGAAAATTATAATACTCTTATTATAAAAGAAGGAAATTTCTGTTACGGTTGTTGCAGTATACTGATATATAAAAAGTCATTAAGTTAGATTTATTTAATAAAAAAAGGCAAAATTTTATTTAGGATTTCTTATCATCTCATAGTATCTCCACATATTACAGTAAGTTGTATTATATATCGGTTGAATTTATGTTAGATTATAATATCTATATATTAATGTAAAGTTGAGGTATAGACTATCTGATTGTCATTTTGAAGCTTTAGAATTTCTTTATTTTGATATGATAGAATAATGTTAGACACGTGGCCTTATTTAATTGGTAATGATGTGACATTTTTACATTTGGTTGTATGTTATTGGTGGTGATTTAGATGAGTTGGATTCTTTGTTACATATGGCTTATTAATGACACATATTAATAACCTTAACCATTGATGTTTCACATTCACATTAAATATTTTCATTTATATAGAGATAAATTTATGTGAATGGAAAAGGATCTATACGTTGTGTGTAATGTAAGGGTTAGAGATATTCATGTGAATATGAAGGGTTTGATAAGTTTTATTTTTGATACATTGTATATCTTATGTGTTGTTGTTTATTTGTTACATGTGGCTTATTAATGACACATTTTAATAACCTTAATCATTGATGTTTCACCTTCACATTAAATATTTTCATTCATATAGAAATAAATTTATGTGAATGTAAAGGGATTTATATGTTGTATGTAATGTGAAGGGTTAGAGATATTCATGTGACTATTAAGGGTTTGATAAGTTTTATTTTTGATACATTGTTTGTGTTTTGTGTGGCTGTATATGTGGAATCAATATAAAGGGTTAGAGATATTAATGAGAATGTGAAAGGATTGATACGTTGTATATTTCAAATGGATTGGAATCCTATATATTTGTAGATATTTTTATGGTTTGGTGCATTATTATTAGCAAGAAAAAGAGGTATATGTATTCCATATTAAATTTGTATATATTTGACATCTTATGTTCATGTCATTTTATTGTCAATATTTTTTTCTTGAAATTTGATGTAGGTATATACAATTTGTGGGAGAAATAAAGGTGCTGCTCATAGTTGAAATATATATCCTGTTAAAGGTAATAACTATTTTTATTTTTTTATTGTGAGACACCACAATAATTGCACTTGATAGTTGTATATGCCGATTCATTATAAATATTTTTTGCCTGAAATTTGATTGTAGCTGAACCATATCGAATCATTAGTATACCCACAACTGTTTTATTTTACATTTTAAGGTTCAGTAGCCGAACCATTTCTATCATTATAAATATTTTTTTCGTGGATGTTTGATAGTAGCCGAACCATATACACAACTGTGTCACATAAAATCCACATGCCGAGCCATGCCGATTCATTATAATTTTTTTTTCCCTGGAATTTGATGTAGGTATATACGATTTGTGAAGAAACAAAGCTGCTGCTCACAGTTGAAATATATATCCCACTAAAGGTAATAACTGTTTTGATTTTTTAATTGTAGTAGTTCTTGCTAAAAGTGCTTTAATGTCCTGTTATCTATTTGCTGAACTATAATGTTGTATACTGAATTTTAAGGGTCAGAAGCCGAACCATATTGGACATATCGAATTATACGCATCAAATCAAGGTGTCGAGCCATGCCGAACCATTTTTCTGCGATATAATTGTAGAAATGCATTAACCTATTTATGTTGATATTCTTATTGCTGAACCATATATTGTTCGGCACTATTAATGCTGTTACATTTATATAATTGTGGCAATACATCAATGAATTTATGTTGTTAATTTCAGTGCCGAACCATATTTTACCGCCTAATCATTATTACAGTTACATCCCAAATTATTCTTATTTAAAAATTGTTTGATGGAAAAGAGAATTAAATGTAGTACATATTGTGTGACATGATGAAATTTATAATTGGAAGTCCATCTTTCGGGTTAATTTCACTTAATTAATTGATTGTTTACCCCTCTATTTTTTTTTTTTTTTTTCAGATAATCTATTAAAATGTCTTATAGTTCGTTGAAAGATCTTAACGATTCAGTAGATGATTGGATAATCATTGTTAGAGTAAT